GGGGGGGGGGGAATGTGTACCCTGCATAATTAACTTGCAATCTGCCCAGAGAGTGCTTGAAGCACTATGGGGTGGTATAGAAGCAGTATGCTTTGCTAATGCAAATACAGGAGGCATATCAGCATGGAACTCATGATACATGTCAATAAAGAACTATAGCTTAATAAAGAAATGCCACATCGTACTGAATTCCTACAATGGAAGACATAGGCTCACGTCTCACGTCTCATCCTTACAGTTTTATACTGCTTCAATAATCCTGAAAAACATTATACAAGAATTAACCTTAGAACCTGCTACAGACCTAGTTCAGAACTGTTATTTCTGACCACAGTGTTTAAGGACCCCCATACTTTACCATACTCCCTATTTTTAGCATTACTCAGTTCCTGGGAATCAAGTGAAAGACATAAACCACCCAGAGAGAGCCTGAAGCACTATGGGGTGGTATAGAAGCAGTATGCTTTGCTAATGCAAATACAGGAGGCATATCAGCATGGAACTCATGATACATGTCAATAAAGAACTATAGCTTAATAAAGAAATGCCACATCGTACTGAATTCCTACAATGGAAGACATAGGCTCACGTCTCACGTCTCATCCTTACAGTTTTATACTGCTTCAATAATCCTGAAAAACATTATACAAGAATTAACCTTAGAACCTGCTACAGACCTAGTTCAGAACTGTTATTTCTGTCCACAGTGTTTAAGAGATGCCTTTAATGCCTTGTGATAGGTAGTAAAAAAGGCAAATCATCATTAGATTTTCTGTTCAACTAGGCAGAACACAACAACGGAGACTTCTCCCTGTTCTGGAAATGAGTTGAAAGACTGCTGAAATTTATGTAGAAAACCTGTTAAGTTTTAGAAATAAATGCCAATGGGGCAAAAGTACACAGGTGCCATTTCAGAATGAGAATACAGTACAAGCACCCAAGGCAATGAAGGTCTCTTTCCCCCCCCCCACTCAGAGCGGCATGATGACAGCTAATTCTTAGATGATAGAGCAAATTTCCTCTCCCCATATTTTTAGTAATATACAGTATAAATTCTAATATGTGCTGCCTAGATACTGTACTGTGTTTCCCCAAAAATAAGATAAGGTTCTTATTGTAATTATTGCTCCAATAAACGCATTAGGGCTTATTTCCAGGGGATGTTTTATTTTTTTCATGTACAACAATCTACATTTATTCAAATACAGTCATGCCAACTTATTCTGGTTGCTGCAGTGGTGGAGGGTGGGGTTTCACTTAACTGAGGCTTATTTTTGGAGTAAGGCTTATATTACGAGCATCCTGAAAAATCATACTAGGGCTTATTTTCAGGTTAGGTCTTATTTTGGGGGGAACAGGGTAGTTCCATTAGGGATACAATAGGACCATGGTATCCGTGGGGGTTCAGTTTCAAGCCCTCCCCCTCCCCCGGATGCTGAAAAATGCAGAAGTAGCAAATGCTATTCATTGTGTGGTCTCTGCCACCTTCTAGTGGCTCATTCTGGTAAATACACTCTGGAAATCTGTAAAAATACGTATGGGGGGTTATTTAGTATTTTCAAGCAGCGGGCAAGTGAATTGGCGAATATTTATCCCATTTAATAGAGATTCTATTGCACTTGACTGAGGAGCCAGGGGTCATGGGTTTGATTCCACATTGTGCCTGTGTGATCACAGGCAAGCTACAGTCCCAGAGTTCAGCCCTGAAGAATGGATTGGTAAACTGCTTCTGAGTAATATATATGTACCTAGGAAACCCTGAAAAGGGTCACGTTAAGACTGAATCCGCCTGACAACACAGAATTACACACTGCAGTGGGACACATTACTTTAGAGAGGATTCTACTGAAATGGAAATCACTGGAACGAACCTTAGTTTCAGCAAAGATTTAGAAACAGGACTTTCTAAATTTTTAAGGAAGGGGCCTATGCCTTTGGTGGAGCTCATTTTGTGTTTAAAAGGACCAAAGTTATCTCTAGATAGGACTAGGAACAATTCCAGTCTGAACCCTTGAAGAGACAGTGCAAGTTCAAGTGTTGACCGTAGTGAGCTAGACAAGCTAATATAGTCCAATTTAGTATACGGCAAGTTCTTCTACAAATAATTGCATAGTGTAACCAAATTACCAAATGTTTGCCATTTTCCAAAGCCTATTTTGCCATTATCTAACAAGGGAAGGGAAGCGAATTTCTCTCACTTCCTAGAAAAGAAAAAGTTGAAGCCTGCTGTTTCTTAGGATATCTACCTATTTCCACCCTGCAGTTTCTGGAAATATCTATCAGTCTCTATTCAAATGTTACACTTTCAACTTCTTCTTTGTAGACTTCCTCAACTCTGTTGGACCTCACTGCCTTTTCCTAGGCTTGTATATACTTGCCTGACTGGACAGCTTGGTGGGCTAGGTTAGGAGTTCAATTCCCACTGTGCATCCCAAAAGAGCCAGCTCGCCTGACCTTGGGGGGCAAGTTGCACAGTCTAAGGATGCCCCCAGAAGGAGGGAAGGGTAAACCACTTCTGAGTACTCTCTACCTAGAAAACCCTAAAAAAGGTCACCATAAGCTGGAATTGACTGGAGGGCACACAATTAGTACTTAAATATACCTTCCTCAAGTGTGCCGACTCCTCCCCTACTTTATATCCCCTCGTTTCCTGCACACCCCTCTTCCTCAGTACAGCCTTGGGCTTTGGGTAAAGGGCCAAGAGGCTGAAGGCCTCTCTGCGGGATATGTCTCAGGCAGGCGTGATTTACCGGGTATTGCCGCCTATTCCTCCATCTCCCCTTGCATCAAGGTAGCTGGCAAAACTACACCCCCCCCCTCCCCGCCACCTGTGTCTGCCTTCCCGCCCATTCCTGCCCTAGCACTAACCTAACGATGTATCTCAGAGTACCAATCACAACGCAGGAGGTGTCTCCACCAGCCAATGGAAAAGCTCTGCTGTTAAGTTAGCAAGACTGTGGGAGGGGCTACGGGAAATGGCAACAAAAACGCGGGGGAAAAAGAAGTGTAGGGGGAGGCGCGGGCGGCAGAAAAGGAAGGGGGCGGGACGGAGGAGGAGCGCGAACAGGAGCGCGGGAGACTGTCAGGAACCGATGAAGGGGCGCTAAACCTCCGGGAAGGCGCTGTCTTTCACTTCCCTTGTCATCTCGCATGAACGCAGGGCGACGTCTCTATTTAGTTGTAGACGAGGTAGCCGTGTTAGTCTGTGCAAGCATTATAAATACTGTAAAACCAAAATAAATAACGAAAAGAGCAACGCAGTATATTTAGACTTCTGTTTACGTCCCTCTGTGCAAGCAAGGTTGCGTTCACACGGATATAGGCTGGCTGCCGTCCTCGGGTTATTGACGTGGAAACTGGGTCCCGACTTAAACGTAAAGTGTTTTAGGAAGAATATACTTACCGCGATGTTTAATCTATCCAGTGTTTCTCTGCCTGTTCAAATTCAGCACCGACCCAATGGGAATCTGCTCAGTCCTGGTCAGCATCGCATCGTTGAACGAAGATTTGGCAGAATCAGTTTAAAGTTTCCCCCAGCCATGCCATTCAGTAGGCATTCCCCCTCCCTTTTTTCAGTCTGACCTACTTCACAGACTTGTTCTGAGGAGAAATTAGAAAAAGGAGCCATATATGCCAACTTAAGCTCATTAGGGGAAAGATACAATATGAAAGTATTGTATAAAATACATTCATATTATATAATATGAATTATATA